TTATTTGTTAAATCTTGCTCCATGACATAATCTTTAACAACATGTAACAATTAGGGCCATGCTGAGCTTTCATGCAGTAATTTCTTTTGGCACAAGGAAATGCATAAAATGATCCTAAGCTATGTCCATAGTGAACTTTGAGCAGTCCAAGATGTCTGTATCAATAGCTGCTGTCCAGATTCTCTGCTGCTTGCTGAGTCAGGAAGGTGCTTAAGCATGTATGTTCAGCAACATACAGGAAATTTTTGAGAAGGTTCATACGTGCAGTACATCTTCTGAGGCTAATTTTGTGCCTTTGAACTTCCCCCCACCTTGTTTATTTCCACTTTGGTTCCATTTTACATTTACAGTAAGAAGTGACATGCCTTTTCTCCAGACAGCTTTCTCCAAGTCCCTCTCCTTGGAAAAACTGCTCATTGTATTTTTATCAATTTTCCATTGTTGCATTGCTTTTAAGATGAAAGCCACCTTGTAAAGGTTAGAATGAATGCAAATGTAACCCCTCCTTCTTTTCTAAAATAATTTTGTCAAACATTGTTAACTTCCTGTTAACTTCCATATGGAATAGAAGTATCATTTCTGGAAAGGCTGCCTGGTCTAACTGCTTTAATGTGTGAGCAACTGCTATGTTTATATGCATCTGCTAGGAGGGGGATCTCGTAAAAAAGTTAGTCACCCTTCCCACTTACATACTACTTAATAGAAGTCCATCTGCCCTTATGCTACTCTGTCACATAGATAAGTTAATCCAGTCTATAAAATCTCTCTTAAAAACCAGCAAACCCCCCCAACTTTATTGACACAAATGGCTGACATAATTATTCCACTTCAATAGCCATGCTTAGCTTAGGGCCCCGTGACTTCAGTTACTTTCATCTGGTACACATACATCACAATTGGCTTCAATTTAGCTAGCCACACATCCAATTGGATTTGATCCAATAAGCTGCATATTTCACCCACACTGAGAAAAAGCCAACCGTAATTCCGTCGTCGGTGTTTTTCAGATTTGCAGTAGAGCTTGTTTAAACAAATAATTACCAATGCTTCTAGCTTTAACAAATGCTTATTTTAACTGTTCAGAAATGCAATTTTATGGATGTTAAGCAGGTCCTATAATCAGAAAATTCAAGTGTGATTTTAAGATTTGCCATAGAAGATGGAACTAGAGCCTTTTTATTTGCAGTGACATCAACCTTTAATGTGTCTAGCCAGTTGTGGAATTCATTTAATAGAAACTGGTGGTATAATTAGCTCTTTTCATTCTTTGCAGTTATAGCATACTATAAAAATAATAAAACGGTCTTTGAATGGCACAAATTCAATAATTTATATGAAAATAAATATATTACTATTTAACTTGAGAGGAGTCTTTTCTTTTTTTCCTTCTTGTTGTTAAGATTGGAGACAAAAGCTGTTCAAGCCACTCAAGCAGCAACACCCTATCCAGTAATACATCCAGCAACAGTGATGAAAAACACTTTGGTTCTGGAGATCTGATGGATCCTGAGCTGCTTGGATTAACTTATATAAAGGGGGCTTCTACTGACAGTGGAATTGATACGGCTCCCTGCATGCCCGCTCCTCTTCTGGCCCCTTTGCACCTTGCTGGTAGCAGATCTGGAGTACATTGTCGTACTGAGCAGTGGACCGAGTCTTCTGAAACTCCTGGGCCAGATGATGATCAAGCTAAAATCTATGCTGTTCACAGCTATGCCTCTGCTATTTCTACCAGTCATACAGCTGAAGGCAGTATGGGAGACCTAAGTGAAATCTCCTCTCATTCCAGGTATGTGTTTCTTACAAATTAAGGATTATAGATTAACCTTCAGAGAACTCTCGTGGTTATTCTGTTTACCTTTCTTTGAAAGCACACTTAACTGATTTTGATTTTTTTGTTGTATTTAAATGCCTATATGAGAAAGTGTAGCAATTTTCAGGCAATTTTGGGTGAGTGTCCCTAAAAAGCATAGCTAGCCCTACTCCCAGATCTGATGGAGAATTTTTATGTGACCTTGTGCACATTGCTTAGGTTTTAAAGTTGGGAAACATCCCTGAGTTAAAGTGAAGTTTGCACCTAGAATTTATTTCACATACTTTTTTTTTTTTTTTTTAGTACAATGTGACAAATTACCTGGGAGTTAATGCTGAAAGAAATCGGAGAAATTGCAATGGACAATTTTTACTTATAGTGATGGACAATTTTTACATATAGTGAAACTGCACTGCGTACCATCCCTTCTAATTTACATTATTGTGATGCTTTATAATTTTGTTTGTTGAACTGAATTTCTGATTGATTTGCAGCTCTTCTTTTTCCTACCAGTGAAATGTGTGCATGGTACATTTGTTGTAAAGCAAACTTTGAAATACACTTTTACAGCTGGTTGCCTTTATTTCATAATTCCCATTTTTATGGTGACTTTGAAGTTGAAGTTTTGGTCTATGTGTTACAGTTTTTATTCTGTAAAGGATGGAAGGAAATTGTTTGTTCTTTGTTCCCTCTGATTTTTTCTGGTTTCAATGTCAATGAGTACAGGAAAATAACCAAATAATGTCCTGTATCCTCATTTCTTTATATGCTTGACATGAGTGAATTAGTCTTGCATACTTAACTCTGACTTTTTAGATTATTTCTTTTTCACAAGTTATGGAAGATATAGACTATTGTGAAAACTAGGTAAATGCTTTCACATTAAGCTTTCCCTACCCTTGTGATAATGTAGAAGCTCCAGATTTACTCTGCTTTCTGTGTGTTGACATTTAAATTTATATATTGAGACTTCTAAAGTGCTAGAAATAAGCTCTATGTTCCTAGGACTTCATCATAATGAGCTAAAATAGATTTCTAATGCCTAGAATATGTACTCTCAGCACTTGTGTGGCAGCTGTCATATTTAAAGTGCCAGGCAGCCATTAAAAAGTCTGCTGCTCACTTCTGTGGAATAAACATTTTATGGATTAATTAATTTTTATTTTTTCTTAAAAAAAAGCATATAGATTTTAAGTGATTTAGCCATGCATTTTCAAAGTAGTACATATTGTTGAGATGATGACTCACGTTAGGCTTGCCCACTTACACTTTGGCAATAGCAATGTGTTTCAAATGATCACCTTCTAATTTGTGTGCCAAATCCTTTTGCTATAGGAAAATGCCAGACTTATGTGACCCAATTGTTTTATTTAAACTTTGCTTACATGTCCTTCAAATTATGTTGGAGTCATAAATAATTTTGCAGTTGGATTTTAAAGCTGGCATCACCTATACAGCACCCTAATAATGCACAGGCCTGCATTTTTAAAAAGTATCTCTTTTTATTGCTATGATGCTGCAACACTGACGTGTTCAAATAGAAATAAGAAAGTTGATTTAACATATAAGCATGTGATATCTACTGCCAAATCCTATGCATATTTTCCAACTGAGTCAGTCACTGAGTTTGTACTTCATAATCTATAAAGATTAAATTCTAACACTATCGAGGCATGCATTCACAATTATTTTATTAATGTTAAATAGTACACTTGTTCTGCAGTAGCTAAACAGTGTAAAACTTCCAGAAGCAAGCCCACAGATTGGTGGAATATCATTGATCTATAAATGCAACATTTCTTTATTAAAATTGCATTGTGTACTGAATAGATAAAGTGCAATGCATAGGAAAGATATTGGCTCATTGAAAGATACTGGCCTGATTCTCTAACACCATCAGATAAAGAACCCCCTGCAAAAATAATGCTATAGTGTCCGAGTAAGATTTACAGAATTAAACCTGCTGTGTGAAACTGTCTCAAACTACAAGACTGAATTGAGCTATGCACAACTTTATGTCTAACAGCTCTGTTATTAATGGTTTTATCTCTCCTATTTTATATTAATTATGCACATGAATTATCGAATACCTTCATGTTACTGTAGCTGAAACAGCTTAGCTTCATTGCCTTTAGTTTTGCTTTGTTTCTTACATAGAACTTCGTTTGGATCCTAAAAATATATACTGCTTGTTCCAGCCATTGCATTGAACTCATTATCTAAAACCAGGCTTTTATAGGCATTTGATTTCTTTACTTCAAAAAATATTCCCTTATTTATTTAGTTACAAATAGAAGTCTAAAATCCTCTGGATATTGACCTTGCTGTCAATCTGATATGTATTTTACATTGTGCTTCAATGTTTGCTTCATCTTTAGGTTTCAATTTTTCGTAACTGAATTATTTTCTTTACCACGTCTGTATATCATTGCTTTGCATATTTGCAAGGATAGCAGGCAAAAAAGCTTTTAACATCATCTGCATTATTTTCTTCCCCCAAAACCTCATAATCTTGTTGCTACTTTTGGGGAAGCAAAAAACAGGGACGAGAGGAGAGAAAATAAATTTGTTTTAAGAGTAAATGCACATACTAACTGTGATCAAAATTAGTAATGATTCAACTTTCTTCCACGGTGGGCATTTTAATTTGATCTAATGACACCTATACGCGTGCATTGCTTGTATTTGACTCTGCGTGGACAGCAAAGTAGCCATGTCTGTTCCACTTTCAGGAACACCTTCTGGTCCTCTGCGAATTAATCCCATGCTCTTGGAATTAGATTAAAAGATAGCACTGTGTTTGGTATTTGTAAACCAACAACTAAAGTTAGGAGCTGCTGCTTCAGGTTCCAGCCTCTGATTTTAGCCAAGGCATTTGGTTTATGCTTCAGTTACTTTTTCTGCAAGATGAAAAGAAGAAATTTATTCTTCAAGGAAGTGTTTGGTTTAGTTCTTTTTAAACCATTTTGAAAGTCTTCAGTAAAAGGTTTCATTACTGCCTACTAGTGCTATTACTCATAATAAAAGAGGCTATTAAAATTATCCAGAGGACTGTTTTTGTTGAACTGAAATTTACTTCAGTTAATATTAAATTCTCAGTGGTGCTGAATGAAAGACACAGCTTAAACTGGCATGAACTGGCAAAATTAACATGAAGTGGAAAGGCACATAAGTTTTATAATTAGAGAGATACTTGGGGTAATTCCCTACTTAGTTCTTGACGTAAATGGAATTATACCATTAATAATGTGTGTGTACATATTTACTTAAAATTGTACGCATAAATTCTATATATATGTCTTGAACTTAGTATTTTGATTTTAATTCGTATCAGTTTGCATTGGCATTTCAGCAAGTTGAATTATATGCATTACTTGATTTAGAATCTCATCACAATTGTGTTCTCAAAGAGCTTTAATGTATGCGCTGCAGTATGTAGAAAATTACTGTACCAATATTACTACCTTGGTTTTAATCTTGAGGAAAAACTCAACATTAAGAATTATAGCTGCATACCAGGCCAAGCTTTTCTTATCTCTTGTTGTATAGCAGATTTCATTTTTGTTTTTGTGTGTTTTCTTTACTTTTTCAGTGGGTCACATCATTCAGGAAGCCCATCAACACATTGCTCTAAAAAGAGTGGCTCCCTAGATACCTCCAAAGTCTATATAGTGTCGCAGAATAGTAGTCAACAGGTTTCTGGGTCGGTTTCAAAACCATACCACAGACAAGGAGCAGTGAGTAAATATGTCATTGGATGGAAAAAATCAGAAGGAAGTCCTACACCTGAAGAATCAGAAATTTCTGAATGCCATGAGTAAGAACTCTGTTCAACTTTCTTGGGGGAAGAAGGGTAATGAAAATAAATTTTAAAATAGGATAGAAAGATGAAAAATTACAAATTCCATTTCATTTTTAAATGTTTGGGTTTCTTTTTCTGTGCCTTTATGTATCAGAGGTACATCCCAAAAAAAGAAAAAAAGACATTAACTGCAGGATACTGTTTCTCCTCTGCACTATCCAGCTGCATCTTTTTCCCATGTGTTAAATAAAGCAAGCTGACAGAAATTTCTGAAAGTGTGCATAGGCAAAAATGTATGGTGACGTCAGACATTCTGAATTTCCATTTTGAATCTCTAGGAAACAATTTGGAAGCTACAAATTTATTGAGATCTTAAAGACCTTTTCTAGAAATCTCCAGGAACTTCAGTCAGTTGGAAAATGCTTACTTCCTGACGTTTCTGTATTAAACCTTACTACCTTGTTACCTATTACATCAGCAAATACATTACAGATGAGAGAGATGACCATAAACTTATCAGTGACCTATGGTAGATAATTCAGAAAAATTAGTGCCAGTTGGAGATATTTTAGTGGTTCTTTAGTATTTTTTCAGACTTTGTTTTTTAAGAACAGATGTCAACTGGTGATTAGGGCCCCACAAGACAAAGATTAAGTGTGGATATATCTGACCCTCTCTTCAAGAGAGTCTACAAAACGTGCAGACTCCACTGAAGCTAACTTTTTTTTTTTTAGCAAGTGACATTTAGACAAAAATATTCAGAGCAGTTCTAACAAACAGCTATATACACAGCTTAACACAGGAATAACTCATGAGGAATGTGTTCTTAGGTGAAAGAAAAAGGCTTGCTCTCAAAGGAAAAAGATGCAGTATCCCAAAGGTAAACAGAGATAATACTTTCCCAGTGCATATATTGCATATATATCTGCATATTTATGGTAAGATTAATATTTTAAATTATAAGCTAGAACACATGTACTATGAAATATGAGCCTGAATTTCCTAATTTTCAAAAGTAGAAGATGCTACTACCTTCCTGCCCTGGTTATTGTACTGGTGATTTCATTTTTTCCCCCAATGTTTTAATTGCTTAAGTTGTTCAGTTGTAGTAGTATTGCACTTAAAAAGTGGTAACTTCATTGATTCCCACAAGTTTTTGCATTTTGAATTTGTTGAACTCCTGAAACAATTTCTCTTTATTTTGAATGGAACCCTTAAAACAAAATTGCATAATGGATTGTGTCATTGAGACAGAAACCACGGCAATTTAGAAAACTATCTTCAAGAGCTAGTTCTGTTCAAGAAATATTAACTGAATATGGCAGCACTTCATATATCAGAAAATATTTTCAGATTTTTCCATGGCGCAGAACGTTGCTTCACCTCTTTCTAGGAAGGCTTTCTATATGTCACAGAGAGGAAATATCTCTCTGAGGATAATTATATTGAAGTAAAATAACATCTCTAATTAGCAGTGATGATGGAAATCAGGTCGATTGCTAAATGTTGTGCCACTATAGGATGTAATTCACTGAGAATTGCACTTTACCATAGCAAAGCTTGTTTCCTCTCTGCTGAAGACTGAGTCGCTGATTATGCTGCTCTTGGCAGTAAGTAATGGCTTCAAATGTATGTTCTGTGTAATTGGAAATCTCTAGTTCCTTCGACTGCATTTCCAGAGTAAACCTGTTAAAATTCTCTCTCTCCTTTCTTACTGGAACGAAGCTGAAAGATAATAATTCAGTTTGACAGTCTTCTGTTGACTGTAAATACATTTTTATATTGTGATAAATAAAACAGCTGTCTTCCTTAATTATCTAAAGAGCTTTACGAAATTGCTGATAAGAAAACACACTTGGCACGTGGCACAATTGATTAGAAATACACTTCAAACATTGCCATTGATGACCATAGTAATTCTTCCAGATTGTGAAGCTGGATGTAATATCGCACTATAAAATATTGATTTTCTTATTTACTAAGGAAGTAAAAGTTAAAATGTTTTGGGATGAACTATTGGAAATGTTGATATAAATAGAACTACAATGGAGAAATGTGGTGCTTAAAAAAGAGAGAGAGAAACTAGAAGAAACAAGCATTATGCTTTTCTAAATTGTTCTTTTTCAGTGGTGTAAGAATTCCATTTTGGACCCACAAACAGTTTCATAAATACAAAATTATTGCAAAATGTTCTAAATAAGAGTGTGCTGTGTCAGGAGATAATTCTAACAATTTTTACTTTGTGACAGAAAATGAACGCAGTCTTTGAAATCCAAGAGCCCTATTGCTTCTCTATTGCTAAAAAACACCAATTGTCTCAACAGAGTGTATGATGATATCGATGTTGTGACTGCATCAAGTCCACTCCAAACTTCCGTGAGGAATGCCATTGTTGAAAGCCAGCAAGTCTTGTCCAAAGAAGATTTTCTGAAGTTGATGCTGCCAGACAGCCTCTCTATGGAGGAGGGGAGAAGAAAGGTTAGCTACTTTCTTTGGCTCTTTGTATTTCAGACACAGTTACCTTAGAAATGAACTTCTGGTATTCCCAAAATTGCTATAGAGAAGGCAATATCTTTTTGTATAAACTAAGTATATTCCATGGGGATGCTATAATACTGACCATAAGTCCCAAAATGCCATTCCTCACAATATGAAAATGATACTCAGTTTGATGATTATGTATGAAATACAGTATTTGTTTAAGTATGTCTGCTTAGCTTGAGCAGATACAGGTGCAGGTTGAGCAACTTAATTATAATGTCAGTGGTTAAAAGTAATGTTTTCAAGGTTGAATGCCTAAATTTATACATCTCATATGATATTGAGGCACACGGCTAAAAGTAGCCCACTTTCCCCTGGCCTGTGATACTCAGTACCAACAATTCTGTTTGAAGTCTGAATCACAATTTCACATAGGTATCAGTGGCAACTGCTCAAAAGGCTAGTGGACAACATACATCTGATCTTTGTAGTATGAAGACATGGTAATATTTAAAAGTTCACAAAAAGTGGATAGAGAACTTAAAATTTACTACTCCTTGAAGTATACATGATTCTGAATTCTGTGCTTAATATGGAATAAAGCACAAAGCAGTAAAATTACTTGAGATAATTGTCACACTTCGATATTAACTCAACGCTCTCTTAACCCACTGTGTTTATACAATGTGCTAAATAGCATAATCATCATGTCTGAACAAAAGTAACACATGGGAATCCTCTAAGTGCAGAGTTGAATTTAAAATTCAGATCATATATAATTTTTTTAACGTGTCGTATGTTAAGTATGCATTATATGTGTTTGAATTCTCATTAATAACATCCTAGAGGTTTTTGTGATTTATGACTGATACAATAGTTGGTTTTCTGCGATGATTTCAAGAGATGCCAATGTTTCTAGCTATCTAAATAAGAAACAACAAGGAGTGAGGAGTTGTGGCCACCCTGAAATAAATTACTGCTGTCCCCTTCCCCTCCTAAGACACCCAACCAAAAGCTCACTAAGTGAGAGACCATAGGCCCTGACTCGCAGGGGATCCCCAGCCGTAGGACTCAGCAGTATCCAGTCCTTGATTATGCCTTCATAGAGGGCAGTAATCTTGGTATAGGTGAGTCAGTTGTCTTTGACAGTGAAGCCAGGAAGGAATTTTCTGAATATGTAAGATTCCACAGAATCAAATCACGGTTTTTATTTGGTTTTGCCTTATTCATAGATCAGGGAATAAAGAGCCCTCTAGATAATTTTTGTCACAGCCTGAAAGTAAACTCTAAAGCTCCAACAATGAACATTCAACATGTTTGGATAGATATTGAACAATTTTTTTTAAACAGAAGATGCAGTGTAAGGTTGGGAGACTTGAGTAACAGCCAAGAATTGCAGCAGGATGCTTGCTGGGAATCTTGAGTGCAGGAAAGAGGATCGGAGATCCTTACATTCAGAGAGTGAAGGTTTTTAACCCTTGGTCCAATATGGTTCCTAATTATGCTCAGGTTCTTTTGGTATTCTTTAACCACTGCTTGTAGAAGGATACCATATATCCATTCATTTAAGGATGCTGTGTATGTCTTCTACGCATTCATTTAGGGATGCTGCTTATGTTAGTTGTGATTACTTTATGTATGTGTTAAAATAAAGTTTTGGATGATGTTTATTCTCATGACCCATATCTATTTCAGGCACATCTCTAGACCTGATGGAGTATTTTGATGCTTTCCTAGATTAGAATCCGAATATCTCGCTCAGTTTTCTCTGGGATGTAGTTAAGCATTCTAACAATTGAGCATGTTCTGTATTGTCATCAAGACAGATGCTTTCCTGAACTAGCACTATGAAGTCTATTTAAGTATTTTGTAAAGACTCTGTCTTGTGGCATGTTGAGTGTTTCTGTGTATTCTTTTTAGAAGTATTCATCAGTGAGCAAGTTTTGTCAGAAACAGAACAATGTAGATGTCTTTAATTCTATGCTATATTCACTGTTTTAAAAAGCTACTGGTCTTAAGCATATATTCTGCATAGGGAATGTGCAACTCATAATTACAAAGAAAACAGGACAGGACATTAAATTGTTATATGCAGGACAAACCAGTTAAAATAATTAAGGCAATAACTGACCTTTGTAGATGTGAAGAATAAATGGATTTGCAGTGCTGAAGTATGACTTATGAAGTGGAATGGCCCAGTTTTACAATTCAGTAACATCTCATTTTACTGTAGATATTTGGGTTGTGATTCAAGTAACTTTTTGAAATGCATAAACAGTTTTCACTGAACTCTATTATCCTCTTTTCTAAGCTTATTTCGTGATATCTGGAGAGATGCAGTGTCTCAAGTCACTTTTATCGTCCAATGAATTATATTGCACCATATATCAATTCAGAATGTTTAATAGTAAAGCGTAGTCATCTCAAATTAAAATCAAACAGTTCTATGTATAGTCTTAAACAAATGTTGCCAGAGTTGGTAACCTTATATATATTTCTGGAAAACACTGCTGTCATAAGGCCATGGAGATTTCATTTAACATTTCAGAATTAATAAAACTACACAGTATCTGATTAATTCATGGTGATGTGTTCCAAAATATCAAGACGAAGGATGAAAATCCAATTCAGTAACTCTTTTGAGGCCCCAGTAGATCTGATGTGGTGGAACAAATCTCTGATCTTCTGTATTAGCTCAAGAATTCCAGAGTGCCTCCCCAGAAAAATACTCCCAAGAACTGATGACGGGATATGATCGTGTGAATTATTTTAACCAGTAATATGTGTTCTTTTATCTTCATATTTTATGTTTAGTTTTCATTTTATGGAAACCTTTCTCCACGGAGGACACTTTATCGTACTCTATCTGATGAGAGTATATGTAGCAATCGAAGAGGATCTTCATATGCTAGCTCTCGAAGTTCAATGCTAGACCAGGCCTTGCCAAATGATATCTTATTCAGCACTACTCCACCGTATCACAGCACATTGCCTCCCAGAATGAGCCTGACTCCTGGAATGGGAAATCTGAGAAGTAAGTGGTTGTTGCTGTCATTGTTGAGTTTGGAATATTTGTGATATAAACTCAAACAAATCACCAAATATTAAGTTAGATTTTACTTTTAAGGTTAAATTATGAAATATGAAATCAGTGTTCTGGCTATCCTAGTAAAAGCATATTTGGTCAGCCGTACATGCTTATGCTTGCCTTACTGATCAATTCAGATTTATCATGTTTGGAGACAGCATTAATTCTATTTCCCAAAAAACTTTCATGAGACCAGTGATAGGCAACAAACATTTATCTGAAGGTATTTCTTGTTATAATTTTATTTTCCAATGGTGACATCATTAAGCCAAGCTAGCCTGTTTTGTTTCAATTTTTTTGTTTGCTTATTTTTTGTGTGCATTCAAATTACTGAAATATTCATGGATATATTCAGTAAAATATTTAAATGGGACAGCTTTTATTTAGATGATCACTTTGGTAACATCTTAAAAGGAAACGTGCAATAGTTGTCATCATCTCCAATTTCAAAACTGAATTTGATGATAAATTTTATTTTAACATGTTAGTAAAATCTTTGCAAATAACATTTTATTTTTAACAGCAGAAAAGAGAGTAGTCTGATGTGCTAAGTTAAAATTATGTTACAAAGGTGTCTCTTCACTTGTGAGGTCTTCATAAGCAAGGTCTTTGCTATATTATTATCTTGCAATAATTCCAATATGGAGTGATGAATTATAGTTTGTAGTATTTTATGGAAAATATAGACTGTAAATCATAAAAATTTTTAAAAAAGGAGGGAAATTGTGAAAAATATACATGCTTGTTATACCAAGCATGTATACAAATCTATGCAGCCAGATACATATATTCAGGCTGCATATCCATATTTATATACTTAAAAATAGTGAATTGTTTTTTAAAATATGTTAAATCACTTCTCAATTATTTTAGGCTGACCTATAGGGGACACCCAATCGAGAAAAAAAAAAAAGAAGCACTTTTAGTTAGCTACTTTATTATTGCATCACAGTTGACCACAATTTAAAAAAAAAAATTGTAGAGCAACCGTGGACTTTGAAGTCCATAGCCAAGAAGCTGTGGGTTGATTTCTTGAAAGCATTAAGAACTTTTGTAGGTGCATGTCCAGAGAGAACGCAGACACATGACTTAATAGTAATAAAAAGGACTCTGTCATTCTTTGTGTCCTTCAGGAACTAGCAGTCACTTGCTAACTTTCAGAAATAAGCCTTATATACAACACACTTTTCTAGTTATAGTGGCCTCAGTTATGAGACTGAGTTTAGTCTCTAACCACTAATTAATTTCAAACTGGTATCACAAACAAGTGCTAAATTCCTGCTTCAGATAGGAATGCATGCTTAGTGTACCTTTTGCCATTCTAAAAATATTCTTCTATCAGTGAAACTCTTTTTACTATGAATTTAATTTGAAAAGATCCTTTGCTTTTACTGATAGAGAATGAAGACCCGCTTTGTTTCATTTGACATTTATACAGTACATTTTGTAGCCTATGAAGGAGCTATGTATATACTCAGGCATCCCGATTGTACTTTTTTTTTCTTTTACTATGTTAGACCTGAGTTTTTAGAGCCATTTCTTGTAAAGGTAGACATGCAACAGGATCAAACCTTCAGCGTGCTTTTATTCTGGAGATTGACACAAGGCCATTAATGGTGTAAATCAAGCTGTATACTGCTCCTCCAGCAGTGAAATGTTGGTGGTTTCTGTATTAGTTCTATCTTAGACACCTTATTTTCCATTCTTGCTGCTTCTTAGATGCAGAAAGTTATTTATACGCATAGCTGGGAAAAACCATGAAACTAGTGTCCTGTCAGTCAAAATGAAGCTGATTGTTGATAGCCAAGGTAGTTCATGCTATTTTCATATACAACCTCTATTTTCTGCTTCTGGTTTTGTATTATAAAAGTGCCTTTCAATGCCAGAAATATAGGATCTTTCATGATGGTTGTTTCAAGGAAGATTTAATTGGATATCTGTAATTGCACTCTGAAAACAAACACATCATGACTTGCCCACCTTTGCTGTCAGAATAAGGTTAGTCGGAATGTCCGTATAAGAAACTAACTTTGACTCCTTTAAGGAAGGTTTTTGTAATCAGTGCATAGCAGGTATTTACATTCTGTAGCAGTGGTGATGTGAGAAGTTTCTTTTTCATTTATAATTTTAGCTTGAGGTTGTAGTTTCAGATATCAGGATTCTTAACTGTCATAGTAATGTCTTTTGTTAAATGCAATGGTTGTGATCTTAAAACATTTTAATTTTACAAATATTTAATGTTTACAGAAATCAGTGGAAATAATAGTGTGGTTTTGGCTGGAATTGATTTCTGAAAGATACGTCCTTGCATATTATTACCCTGCATGTGGTACATGAAGTATTGTGGCAGCACCAAGTCTTGTGACAGCCCTCTAGGAAGGAAAGAGTGTGGTTAATAGGTAGGCAAGGCAGTACCAAAACCAAAGCGTAATAGGCAACCTGGAGGGTTTCAGTTTACTGGGAAATCAGAATTACCAGACAGAACGACCATGCAAATATGGAAACAGAAACTTCAGCTGTGTGCGATGTTGACTGCAGGAAGGAGATGAGAAAATGAAAGTATAGGATTATTTTTTTACTATTTTATCACTGGGGGAAGTGAAGTGAAGTGAAAAAAAGAGCTGCTTTCAGTAAAGCCTGAAATGCAAGCTCTGACAGTTGTTGAGTGCTGTTGACTGCACACAGTACACAAATGTAGAAAGATATATTTCATTTTATCTGATTTTTAACTTAAACCAGAAAGCAGAACTCATGTAGCTGAGAACTCTGGAATTTTACCTTGGGGTCATTAAAGATTCCCTAAGTGAGGCAGTGCTGTTCACCTTGAGTGATTCTAGCATGCCATACATGGTTGCAGGTACAAATCTGTCCCCATCTTGCAAATTCCTGGCAGCTGAACTAGCAGGGAAAGAATGAAAACAATGAGAACCACTGATACAGAACTAGTGTACTAACACAAGTCGGAAACCCAGGAGGACACATGGAGGCAGTCTGTCTGACAATTGCAGGCACCGTGGTCCACTCCTATTATGAAACGCAAAAAGAAAGGGGAAAGAAAAATGCCCAAAGTGATACAATGGCATGACGTTCCTATGCTGTGAGGAAAGGAGCAAGGTGTAGGATACTTGCAGTAAAGAGGGTCATAGATACACTAACAAATTCTGAAATTTCTCAGATTATACATGCTATAGGGAAAAGGCTGCCACAAATGCAGCTGATATATCTGCAACTATGTTATTAGATGGAAGTCTATCTTAAAACGGGCTTACTACCAGTGTTAGCTTCAATCCAAAACTAACTTCATTGATAAGAAGCAGTATTAAAATGGAAGAGCATCACTGTGTATTGATGATGTACAACATGAACGATTTGGATATCAGTTTTTCAGTAAGCAAATAAAGGCTGTTGATTAAATAATTCATGCAACCAAAGGAGTATATATGTTGGCTGTTACAGACTGTCACACAGTGAATAATCCACCATACCAGAACATGAGACTATCTTCAGTAACAAAAAGGAAGGGAAAAGTAGTTACTGGGAGCACATGTCAAGTAGTCTAACAGTAATGTGAACATATGTCCATGAGAAAGTCTACTTGCAGGCTGACATCTTTGAAGGGAGACATTGGGCAGCCCTAGGTAATACTGAAGAAGGGAAGGGTTAAGCAGGCAGAAGCTGCAGTTTAAGAGGACCATAGAGCTATAAGTGCTGATTGCAGGAAAGAACAGGACAGACACTGGGATTTAGGTCTGTATATGATTTGATATGTTCCTTCAGCTGTAGCATCTTTTGAGATAATCTACTTGTTAAATGACATGCCTAGTTTGAGCACAGTAAGTAAGGAGTACTTAGCAGGTATTTTTTCATGATCTACAGTCTCTGCAGAAAAGTAGCATTTCCAACTGAAGCAGGATACTTGTCTTGGAAATAAAAAAGGTTAAGTCAGGTGAATCTTTCTTCTTTCTGTATAACTAGTTACTCTTTGAATACAGAGATATGTGAGACCAAGGACAGTCAATATCAGGAGCTTTGTTGGAAACTGAACTGACCATATAATTCTGGTGAAAATAAGGATTCTTCAAAATGCTTTATACTTTCATATATCAGTAATAAAAATAAAGACAATTCCTAAGTGTAGGAAGTGACATAACTTCCTTCTGTGACCAGAAACCACAAGATCAATGATTTTGTGCCAAAAACAGTACAGCAAATAAAATAATCTTTAAAACTGAAAGATAACACTTAAATTGTTTCCTTAAAGGAAATAAGGGATAAATCTCTGTTGCTTCAAAATCAGTCTTGTGGGCAATGAAGATAGTGGGCTACGAGATTAGGCATAGCATTCTGGACAAGCAGAGGCAGGCATGCTCAAGGGTAACTTGCCACCTGTGCATAAAACAAAAAGGAGGAGAACAGGCATCCTACAGCTGCTAATGGGGCAGTCATATAGAGGAAAAGTGGAAGCAACAGGGAGGTAAGAGGAGCAGGGAAGGAATACAAATACAGGAGGCTAGAAATAATTCATCTCACCGAGAGCATTACTGAAATACAAACAATATTCTCTGAAATTCAAAGGCACAAAGAGGCCTCTCTCATTAGAGCTCCCTTTTTTTTTTTTCCTTTTTTTTTCTTTTTCCTCTGCCCCCGCTCCCCCATCATTGCACAAGAACACATAATGTACATCTTGAAAATGAATTATTCTGTGGTGGCATACTCATGCCTGTTCCGTTATTCCGCTTATAATTTCAGCCATCAGCATGAGCACTTACATTTTCGGAGCTATCAATATTCAAATCTCTACTCTCTGGCAGGCTTTTTGCAGTTGAGTTGCTCTGTCAGGGCTTATGCAGGACTGAATAGGATCCACCCTAAGGTGAACTGAGGTTCGCACAAAGACAATGCATAATGAAGGATGACTACTGGTGAATATGTCACTCCTACACTTTAATTTGGAAAGCCAGCAGAATCGCACTGGGAACAGGCATCTTCCTGACAGGTTTCACAATCAGCCTCTGTAGGCTGATCACACAAAAGCAAGGGCTGTCCCTTAGGGCCTGCCTGCTGGTCTAGAACCAAAAGCTGACTTGCCAGCCTTTCAGATAAGGCATTCTGTCTATTTTCCACAACAGGGATGCATAAAACATTTGTACTTGCGTAAATAAGGTTCTTATAATTCCCAGGTCATATACAAAACTTCAGAGACTGCTCTGTTGTGCTCCCAGTGTATTTGTACGCCAAGGTAACCTTAGATAACATTTTATGTATGTTTATAAGGAACTGAAAATAAAATCTTAATACAGATGTATGAGTAGAATATATTTGTATATTACATTTTCCATTTCGTATAGCATCCACTTTTGCATTCTAAGAGTGGGTACTGAGAAAGATATTTCTGCAGAGGTTTGTCACACCACTTCCTATGGTAATATAACAATATTGCATCTTTCATGTAAGTTGTAGAACAAGATAAATTCCACAGTAAACAGGATTTCTACATCTTCTGCATTATTTTTGATTTGCAGGACTCCTAATTTTTGACAGGGTTGCAAACTTCCTTCATTCTCCTGATTTTTTAATTTTTTTTTAAAGCAAGCTTTCTGCAAAGAATATTATATGCTCTAATCATTGCTCCGTGCAATAGAATGCTCTGTAACAGGCTACTGCTTTGGGAATTTTAGTTCAGAAATCTTTAATTCAAATAGACTTAGCTATTCTTTTTCATTAGTAGCAGGACAATGACAACATGTCATTTTCTTACACTGTAATGTATCTTCCACTTGCATGTGTGCATTTTTTCCTTCATTGATTTTTGTGTTTGGTGTTTTGCTGGAAAAAATATTCCTCATAAATAATTATAGTCTGAATCACTGGAATAATTAGATGGAAGTTTCCTTCTGAACTAAATTTGAGGGGGAAAAAAAAAAATCACTATTTTGACCTTTTTTTATTTAATACAAGTAGATTCATCTGAAGAAAAATTTCTTTTTTCCTGACTATACTATTTAATAAAAGTACAATATTGTATCACTAGCTTTATGGTTAAGATGAAATGTGATTCAAAATAATGTATTTGTTTTATGTTCAGTTTTAAGAACATCTGTGTGCTTATTCAGCAGTATTGATTTTAATGTATTTACATTGATCAGAGTGAAGATTGCTGTGATAGATAAGGAAAATGTAAAACTATTTAAGATGGTAATGAAAATTAGCATCTCCTCTACTAAGATGTATGTTCCTGGTACCTTTCTAAAAGACTGCATAACTGAAAGCTGTGTTTGAACTAACTTTATAGTGTATACATGTCAATTAACATACTGTCTATCTACAGTACACAATATGTTACTCTAAGCTCACTGCGGAGCTTAGAGATCAACACACAAGTCTTATGTGCTTGGATATACAGCTACAAATATTAAACTAATAAGGTAGTGATTTCAATGTGAAAGTGAGTTTTGGATACAGGCTAGAATTTACAAATGCGTTAAAAGAAAAGCAAGTGATATTTTTTAAATTGCTTCTGGAACTGAAATATTTAAGTTTCAGAATAAAACTCTGCATGTAAATATCCTGTGTATTGTTTTCCAGCCTTCTTAAAAATATAACTGTATGTATCTAGCAACTTTTCTGCTCAGTGCTCAGGTTTAATATGGTATGCTTTAAGAATGGATGCTGCCTACTCACAAAGCATTCACATGAAAATGCGAAGAACATATCGTGTCAAAGTGGCACAAAAAAACCTTTAGAAACCCTTCCCATCTTATTCTGCTGAAGTTTAAAAAGTATTCCACCCATACTGAGTATTGAACAGGAAAAGACAGAAACAAGAGAAATTAAGATAAGCACTCTTTGCTTATACGTTTTTGCAGTTCATTATAATAGCTTCAGAATTAATTGTACATCACTGTTATAGGAAGACTAATTATTGTGTTTATTGTTTAGATGAATTCTGGTTCTCAGATGGGTCCTTATCTGATAAAGCCAAATTCAATGATCCTGGCCTGATGCCCCTGCCAGACACTGCCACAGGGCTAGACTGGTCTCACCTGGTAGATGCTGCACGAGCGTTTGAAGGTAACAGGAAAATTTGAATAAAGATCAATGTTCAGTGCACAAACTTTATTTAGAAAATATATATTGTATAGCCACATTTTGAATTTCCAAAATCCGGTGTTTGCCTCCGTAGCCCTTTAGTTCTTTTGGCAGTATCACGTCTCAGTGGGGAAGATTGTCACTGAAAGTTTGGGGTATTCATGATTCTTTCAGTATCTATCTTAGATACAATTCATCCACTTAGGGGCCTAAGTGCCTTCTGTAATAAATTGGAAGAATCAGGTGCTTTCAAGGAGAGATTCAAAGCATTAGAGTGAGATGTTTAAGATGAAACTGGGAGTAACGCATCCCTGAGTTTATTGTGTTGTGTTTATAAACTTGTATGTGCAGTGCAAATGATGTTGCAGTCCCTCTCGGTTTTCATAATAAGCCCTTGAAAAACAGCAAAAATGTACATTGTAGCAGAACTTGAAGTGCAGGATACAGACCAGGTTTGCATTATTAAATTATAAGACCAAATTAACCAAGAAAAAAACCTCATTTGCCTCTCTGAGAGCTAAACCTACACATAAAGTATAAACACAGAAAGGTGGATGTTGGTTTGAGTGTATATATGAATATATACAGTTGGATGTTTGTGTTTTGTTGTTTCTGAGGGGTGTTTTGGTTAGGTTGCTGTGCTGTCCTAAAATTTCTGACGTTTCTTAACTGGTGTTACTCTCATTAGTGAATGTATGGGAAGTCAGAGGTATCTGTGAATAAGGATGACATTACCACAGTCATCATCTTATAAGATACAGGTCTTAACTTTATGAGAAGAACTGGTTGTGAAGTTAGCGATGAGAGGTTCTTCTGGTTTTTTAACTAAAAGCAACCATGGGAATCTGTTTTCTGATACCCAATTCCTTCCCTAAGTGTGAAGTAATTAAATTTCAATTTGATCAAAAGCTCTTCAGAACTACTTACTGTAATAATTTAAATGGCATTGTTAAAAACCCAAACCAGCAGTGATGCTTAACAATCTAAAGTACTGTATTGTTTCTTAACCTGATTAACTGTATGTGCATTCGTTTCTGTTCAGTACTACTCAAACACGCCTGTTGTAGCTGGTAGGAAGTACTGTGATGCTGCGAGTCTTACTGCTGTTCCCATGCATTTCTATGTTTGATCGCTCAGGGAACATCCTGCTATTTGTTATTGATGTCTTAACGGAAAATAGATTTGGATCAATAAATTACTAACTCTGACTTTATACTTATAGAGTATTTTTAAATGCTAATAAAAATTTTGAGTTCAGCTGACTAGAAGGTCATTCTGTACCAGTGATGCTCCTATATTGTTAGCTTTCTTTGAAAACTTTAATAGATTTTCATTATTTTTACTACTTAATATTGTGATGAAAATAATTTCACTTTGGTAAATTATGTGAATGTAATTACCATTTGAATTTGAGAGAGGGAGGTAGGACAACATAGCTATCCACGGTGCCCTGTCCATAGGAGGAGGAATATTCACTTGTTGGGTTTTAATTGCAAAAATCTTAGATGTATCTGTAGACAAAGCTGAAGAACTGATGGTCTGAGTCACAAGATGGAAACTGATTTTATTGGGGTTTTTTTTAATTATTGTAAGAATTTGAGTAGTAAATAATAAGCTAGTGTTATATGAAGGAATGTAATTCTGTTCTATTTAGGACTCCACAAGAGAGACATCTGTTTACATGTTAGATGATTTATAAAATGTTTTGACCAAATTCATAGTACTACAATTTGATTTTTTTTACAAGGAATGGAGTTTTTAAGCCCTTGTTCAACTTTCTCTATCCTATGTCTTGCAATTTGAAAGTAATTTTTAAAAGAATAACCGACAGGCATGTCAAAAAAATCACTGGGAAGGAATGTGTTGGATATGAATTAGCAGATGCCATTTTCCACATTTTATATAGGACTGTCTCAAAAAACCCCAAAACAAATACCACCACCCCCACCCCCCTCCAAAACCTTCAATGAAAAAGATCACAAAATGGATAAGACTTGTTTAATAGTGATTTAAGAAATTCATGTTAAGAGTTATTCTCAAGTTTGGCTTTGCCAACCTGATATTTCAAAGTTGTATTCTCTTCTATAACCTAGATACAAGACTTAATTTTAGATTTTAATTTGTACAAGGCCTTTTCTTAATACCAGTTTTAGAATTACCAATCTGTTTCCAAGGTCAGAGTTTTTCCCCTAGTGATCTCTCTAGATTGTATGTTGACAACTTACATATTTTGATCAGTTCAACGTCCGTAATATGGGCCTCACAATCTTTCATCTGTGTGTCTTAAAATGCAATTTTATCTTGATTAATGTTAAATATAGCCTTATTAGGTGCTTAAAATGTTGGCATTAATTGGATCAAGAATTAAATATGGTAGCAAGACTTTTGCCACTGTCATCTGTACTCAGAGTTTACTCACAAATATAACAAGAACAGTGATCTCATTTTTAACTTCCCCCCTCTTTC